CACAATGACAGAATATCTATGCTAATATCCTTCACATTCTGTTGTTCAGTCTCTCAGTTGAGTTCGACTCTTTGCCACCCCATGGACTGCAGCACGCCGGGGTCCTCTGACCTCCAGTGTTTCACAAAGTTTACTCAAATTCATGTCTATTGAGTTGGTGATGTTATCTAACCACCTCATCCTCTGTTGCCCCCTTCTCCTTTTGCCTTCCATCTTCCCCAACAACCAGGTGTTTTCCAAACAGTCAGCTCTTCCCATCAGCTAGCCAAAGTATTGGAGCTTCAGCTTTAGCAACAGTCTTCCCAATGAATATTCAGGACTGATTTCCCTTAGGATGGACTGGTTGGATCTCCTTGCAGTCCAAGGGACTCTCAAGAGTCTTCTCCAGCACCACAATTCAAAAGCATCAATTCTTCAGCACTCAGCCTTCTCTATGGTCTAACTCTCACATCTGTATCTGACCACTGGAAAAACCATAACTTTGACAATATGGACCTCTGTTGGCAAAGTGACATCTATGCTTCTTAATATGCTGTCTAGGTTTGTCATAGCTTTCCTTCCAAGGAGCAAGCATTTTTAATTTAATTCACATTCTGTTTAATGAATGTTTAAGTAGTATTCTGTGTAAATAATGTTTCAAAGATGCAGTAGTTTTAGATTCAGTTGGCATGCTCTTGGGAATTTGTTTAGAGCTTAGACTGTCATTTTAAGGTAAGTGCCTTTGATTCAGGAGACATTTGTAAGCAGGTCTACTTGCTTTTAGACTGAAGCCATTGCTAGTCTTAGGTATATGTAGTTAGCAACCTGATAGAAGTGTTTTGTCCTTTTTCTCTTTTATTTTTGCTTGTTAGAGCCTATATCCGTAACACCTAGAAGAGGGCCTGAGACAGGAATATGTATATTCAGACACTGTGTTACTAAAACAAAGATTCAGTAAATTATTGATTAATAAATGAATGACTGGACCTCACTAAGCCAAAGAGGTACATTTGTACAATTTTATCACATCACCAACATCACTAGACTATTGATATAAAGTAAGGTCACTTACTTTATTGTTCAAGTTATGGTTATTTAAGCCATTGCCACTTCATTCTAGAAACTAAGACCTTCTGAGCACTGCCCCTCCCCAGTTATTTCTATGAATCTCCTAAGGGATCCTCCCTGTGTCCACATGGCAGTGATTAGCCTTAGTCTTCACATCCTCCCCGTCCTCCCTGTCCATCCTCCTGTGCTTGGGGTCTTTGAAGACTGTCGGGGAAGCATGACTGCCTGCCAACATCCATGCTGGGTGGGCTGACCTGGATTTTTTCAAAGCTTCTAGTCTTTATGGTGGGGGAGGGATAAATTGGGAAATTGGGATTGACATATACACAATACTATATATAAAGTCGGAGAAGGCAATGTCACCCCACTCCAGTACTCTTGCCTGGAAAATCCCATGGATGGAGGAGCCTGGTAGGCTGCAATCCATGGGGTTGCTGAGTCGGACACGACTGGGCGACTTCATTTGTCACTTTTTACTTTCATGCATTGGAGAAGGAAATGGCAACCCACTCCACTGTTCTTGCCTGGAGAATCCCAGGGATGGGGGAGCCTGATGGGTTGCCATCTATAGGGTCGCACAGAGTCAGACATGACTGAAGTGACTTAGCAGCAGCAGCAGCATATATAAAGTAAGTAACTCATAAGGATCTCCCATATAGCATAAGGGAACTCTAATCAATACTCAGTAATGACCCATATGGGAAAAGAATCTTAAAAAACTTATACATATACATACATGCTTTTATATATGTGTATAATTGATTCACTTGGTTGTATAGCAGAACCTCACACAGAAGTATTAATCAAATATACTCCAATAAAAATTAATAATAATTTAAAAAAAGCTTCCAGTCCTCAGAGTAACAGAATTCCTACAGCCCCCAGGGAACTGGGAGACTGTAGCTCCTCCCCATACTTGACCAGCTGGACTCTGGGGGCAGCCATTGAGTACAGAGTCCCACAGGTCCTCTTAGGGGCATTCTCATCAATTCCTAATTCCCTGGGAAGGTAGATGCTCAAACGCAGGCTGCAGGGCTGAAAAGGTCACAGATGTTGTGGAGTCTGCCCCACCTTTCCCCACTTCCTACTGTCCACTCTCCTCTCTTCTAGTACCCAGGAGAGGTTTCCAGGCCCATCAGAGGGTGGAAAACATCCTGGAAGTAAGGATGAGCAGAAGGAGCCCTCTCCTCCGGGTATGATGCTCCAGCATGGGGACCGTCAGCTGTCCTCAAATGCCCTTGTGTACAGCTAAGAATAGCACCTGCCTCCTGAGCTCGCATCAGCAGAAACAAAGCTGGTGGCAAGTGCTTTGCATAGATTAGCTCTTGTCATCCTCATAGCAGTGATTTTTTGGACCATGTATTGATGAGGAAAATGAGGTCCATGGAGGTTTTGGTGTCTGGCCCCAAGTCACACTTAGGTGGCAGAACCAGGATTCAGACTCAGGTCTTTCAGAGTGTAAAGCACAATGTTATTTCACATAATGAAAGTCTGAGCTCAACCACAGGAAAAAACACACACTGTTCTACAGACTCCTTGGAGACCCAGGAGTGGGACAGCCTGCCCCATCTGTCACCCCTGCCTCCCAGCTCTTTACCTTGAGGTGTAATGTTGTGCTTGTTGCAGGGTGACTGGTCAGGCACTGCCTTGCCCCTGCCCCCACCCCATTCCCTGCAGTGGCACTTGGCCCACACTCACTCCCATTGGCCTGGGGTCTCCTCCAGTGCCTCTGCTGGTCCCTTAAGGGTCCACCGTATCTTCCTCCTCTTTCTCAACACGACTTGTGCTGGCAATGAGGCACTCTCCCCATACTTTCCAGCACAGGAGTTGCTCATGTGCCTAGTTTCCAAGATTGACTCTGCCTTGGTTCAAGTTCCTGGGCTTGTCCTGGAGCTCCAACTCTCCACCCTTGGGCCCTGATGCTCTCCTGAATTTCCAGCCCAGTGCTACTGTCCCAGAGACGACACTGATTCCATGTATGGGATTCTATGCCCATACCTACCCTCTCTGGACTGGGCTGGGATAATTAGTTCTAGCTCCAGACCCTATTTCTCCCCAGGCAGCCCTGCTGGGGATTGTCCTGCTTGGGAGAAAAGCCCCATCCAGGCCATGATCTACTCAGGTAGACAAGCCCCACAAATGCATTGTTGTTGGAGATGTACACATGGCAATTTGGGCAAACTTTTGCAGCCTCTCACAGTCGGATCTGGGGGTCGGGGGATGGACCCACTAAAAGAACCAGGCGGCAGGCCAGTCTTGGCTGTCAGGAAGATTGGCCTCTACAAGTCAGTTAACACTGATGTTGAGCAGGGATCCAGAGGGACTTCCCTGGTGGTCTAGTTTTTAAGACTGTGCTCTCATGCAGGGGCGCAGGTTTGATCTCTGGTTGGGAAACTAAGATCCTGCATGCTGCAGGAGTGGCAGAATTTTTTTTTAAAGGCAGGAAGCTGAAGGTCAGGTTGGCTTTTGGTTAACAGAGTTTATTGATCGTTTACAAAAAAGGTTGACCACATGCAAGTTGTAAGGATGCTGCATTCCTTGTGAAGGACAAACATGATCCAACCTAGTCTTGAAACCCATACCCATTTGTTCAGCCTGGGCTCCTAGTTTGTTAGAGCCCAGCTGTTAATATACCGTGGGTTGTGGACCGCAGAAACCCCAGCAAGGAGCCTGCACACCAGCACATCTGAGTAACACCTCCAAACACCAACTCAGAAATCAAGAAAACTACATATGCATACAATCTGTGGTTAAATTCACAGACATATCCTAGAGGGGTTATTAGCAAGTGGGGTGAAATGCAAAGAACTGTTCTGTTTCTCTCTCTAGGCACATATCTGTATTTCCTCTTGGCAAGTGACCTTAAAGTCAGATGGAACTTCTTTGCATTAATAGAAGCTTGCACGTGGTCTCTGCTGGGGGCGGTGGTCACAAGCAGAGGAGGTGTGGCCCAACTAGAGGGACACGCTAAGGAGCCCAGAGCCCTCAAATTGGGCTCCTGCCGCCAAACTTCTGTGACCTCTGGTGATCACCCTCCCTCTTGGGAACTCATTTTCATCATCTTGGCAAGATGGAGCTTCGGCTGGCTGTGTGGCCCAGCTCTGGTCCTTTCTGACAGTGGCTGGCCTGGGCTGCACGGGGAATGTAGTCGAGGGGAGGTGGGGGTGGGGAGGAGATGTGGAGGGGAAGCTATGCCATGGCCCAGCTCCAGCCATCTTGGATCAGTGGCAGCACCCTACCCCTAGCACAGCGCCTCCTGGGGGTACTTGGCAGAACAGCTGGGAGGCTCCTAATACTTTGTGGAAGAGCTGTACCCTGGAGAACTGGCCAGGGGAAAAATGCTTCCTATTCGTGCTGTTTTGCACTTGGTTAAAGCCCTCATCACTACTACTTGCTTTGATCCTCACCCCAGACCTGTGAATAAGGCTGATTCACTTTCTTCATTTTCCAGATGAGAAAGAGGATGAGCTTTCCCAAGGTTATCGCACGTGAGCAGAAGAGCTGGATAAAAACAGATGTCTCCCCAGATCTCAGCCCTGCTCTGTCTCCTCAGGACTTTGAGTGGGACAGCTCCTAAGGGTACCTGTTGCTCCTGAGGATGTCTCTGGGGCAACCAGCTTGGCTCCAGCCATCTCTGGGTCCAGGGCAGCCCTGGCTGGGGCAGCTGCCCTCACTCCCACAGAATCCCTCTCATACCTCCCTGTCCCTGGTCCCGAGTGGGCATAGCAGGGGCCCACAGTCTCTGCCCAGACCCCATCCTCCACCTTCCAATGGCTTTTAGGCACAGGCCCACAGTCGGCAAGAGTTTTCAGTGCACCCTCACCCTCTCTAGCTGCATTTGGTTTCCTACAGCCTGCAAGGTTTGCTGACCCTCAGCCTTAGTCAGCCCCCGAACCTTTTTCTGCTCCTGCTCTTAGCTGGAGGCTTGAGGATCCAGGCGCTAGTCAACCTTGTCACATGTGGCCAGGGCTCTGCTCTGGAACTAAGAAAGCTGGGGCCCCAGCAGGACCCAAGTGACACTGTGAGGTCTGGAGTTGAAGGGTAGAAGACATCAATCTGGCTCCTTGTTGCCGCCCAGTCTCTGTTGCACAGAGTGTTGCATATGTGCCGAGGAGCTGTGTGATGGGGAAGTATTTTCCAATTGCAGTCGTAACCAGAGGAATAAATCCTTTGCCCAAGGCATTGTTCAGAGCCCTGGTTATGGGGGTTACACCATTGTACAAAACAGGGGTGACCGTAAGGAGCAGAGTTGAGGAGCGTGGCCCAGGCATCAGGGCAACTGGGGTGGGGAGAGGGGGGCCACAGGACACAGTCTAGAAGTAAGCTTTGCTCTGTACATTCTTCTTCTCGAACTTTTGCCTGAGCTCAGAGACCAGAGCTGACTGGACGGGGCTTCCCATGGCCTTGCGTTTTGCCACGGCCCTGGGTTTTGGTGATGGTTGTTGGGGTTGCTGAGGGGCGAGCGAGCCCGAGACGGTAGGCACCGTCCAGGGGGCCTGGCCCATGCTGGGTGCCGCGCTGGGCGGTGGAGGGGGAGCGGGGGCCTGGGGGGGCGGTGTGCTTCCGCGGCTGTTGTTGTTGCAGTTCTCGTTGGGAGGAGCCTCTTTGAGCACAAACTTGTCAGTGGCCTTGGCCCTTCGGAACTTAAGCCACTCGATGCGGATGCTGCGGGGTGCAGGGCTGGGCCGCTTGCGGAGAATTCGCCGCACCGGCTGGACCTTGTTGGACTTCTTGTTGCGCCAGAAGGTGGCGGTGGAGATGAGGACGGTTATGGCCACGATGACGGCCATGATGCCAGCCAGCACGCCCACGGCCTTCATGGGATTGTCTTTGGTCTGCATCAGGAAGGCGGCCATGGGGCTTCGGGACAGCATCTGGAAGAGAGGTGCGTTCAGCCGCTCCTGCCTGGTCCCCGGAGGACAGAGCAGGGGCCCTGAGCTCCCTTAGGCCAGATGGTTTTTAAGCTTTCTGGGCTCAGTCGTCCCCTAGAGAATCTGAGGAGAACTATGGGCTTCATTCCAGAAAAAGAAAAACGCAAAGAGAAAAAAATACAATGCAGGTTGGATTGGATGAGGAACTCCTGTTTTAAGTGGCACTGCTTTCCTTTGATGGGGGAGGGGTCATATCTGCCCAAGTGTATCAGGAGCCTCTTAAGGGAGGACTTCCTGCCAGACCCTGAGCTGAGAACCACACATGATTTTACTTCTGCCTTTCAACTCTCAAGTGAAGGAGGCATCGTGAGTCCCATTTCACAAGAAGGGAAAGACTTGGCCAAGTCACACTGCTACAAAGTGTTGAAACTGGTATTTCGACCTGATGTCAAAGCCTGTGCGTTGGATGGCACTGGTAGTCCCTGTGAGCGGTGGGTGGGTGTCTTTGGAGGAAGGTGGTCTTTCTCTCTCTTTGGCCATGTTGCAGGGAGGCCTGAGCTGGCCTCTGATCAACCCCCGACGTGGGCTTCATACTCACCTCAGTGTCTACGATTTCAATCTTGAGCAAGGCCGTGGTGCTGAAGGATGGGGAGCCACGGTCCTTGGCCTGCACCTCTAGGGACCACGTGCTGTCCCTGTTGGGAGTGATGTTGTGCAGGGCATCCAGGGATCGGATGGAGTTCTTGAGCCAGATCTCCCCTGTGTGTGCATTGATGTCGAAGACATTGGCCGGCTCCGCATGGGTGATGGAATAGTCCACCAGGTTGTTGGGCTCCTCTGCGTCCTGGTCTGTGGCCTGTACTCAGGGAGGGATGGGCGGGGCTGGACTTTGAAGGTCACATTTGTGTCCCCTGGCTAAACCGACAGGTCATATGCAGTTTGCTGGGTTGATGGGAGATGGTCCTAATCCTATTTTGAGTGAATGGAGTTGGGAGACGAACTGAATGAGGCAGGGTCTGTGCTTGGCTATTTATGTGTACTGTCCATCTCAGAACAAGCCTAGCCAAGTCAGTACTGGTAAGAAACAAAAAGCCTGGAGGCTGAGTGTCTTGCCTAAGGATGGAGAGGTAGAAGGAGGGGAGCTGGGGTCCAGAGTCAAGCCTGCTGGGTTTCAGGGTTCATGCTCTCTCCATGTTGGGAAGGCAGAGCTGTGAAAGCAGGCAGACAGCTGTGTGAACTGAGGCCAACCCAACATGCAACCTGCCTGAGTCTCTATTTTTTAATCTGTAAAGTGGCAGTAATATCTTCTTTCTTAGAGTTTAATTCTGGGTGGAGGTGGGGATGGGGGTATATAGTGAAAGTGAAAAGTGAAAATGTTAGTCTCTAAGTCATGTCCAATTCTTTGTGACCCGTATCCATTCTTTGCAGTCCCATGGACTGTAGCCTGCCAGGCTCCTCTGTCCATAGAATTCTTCAGGCAAGAATAGTGGAGTGGGGTGCCATTCCCTTCTCCAGGGGATCTTCTCAACCCAGGGATCAAAGCCAGATCTCCTTCACTGCAAGCAAATTCTTTACTATCTGAGCCACTAGGAGTATATAAAAAGCACAAAGTTTAGTCGCTCAGTCGTGTCCGACTCTTTGCGACCCCATGGACTGTAGCCCACCAAGCTCCTCTGTCCATGGGATTTCCAGGCAAGAATACTGGAGTGGGTTGCCATTTCCTTCTCCAGAGGATCTTCCCAACCCAGGGATTGAACCTGGGTCTCCCACATTGTAGGCAGACGCTTTACCGTCTGAGCCACCGGGGAAGTTAGGGGTATATAAAGTACCTTAAAAACCATTGCCTATTTCAGGAGTCCAAGATATTTGAAAAGAAATTCTTAAGCCACAGCGCCACTTGCCACTGGAGGAACAAAGCTTTTTTTTTTTGTCTAAGAATGATGGACATTTAGACACGGGCGCCAGGCTCACACCTGGCCAGTGCCACACCAGGGGTGGGCAGAGCAAGGACAGAGAGGTAGGGAGTGGGCATTGCAGGGGCACAAGCCAGGCTGCTGGTGTGGGGGTTGCTGGTGGCTGCTGGGGGGAGCAGGGAGGAGTTAGCCACAGTGACTCCAGAAGGGCCAGATCCAGGACGGCCAGAGTCAGGGGCTCACGCAGAGCCTGGCATCGTCATGTGGCTGGTGCCCACAGAGGGACGAGGCCAGCCTTCAGTCCGCGGTGAGAGGGTGGAGGGGCCCGGCAGGCAGCAGCATCTCCAGCCAGGTTCTGGGCCTCTGGCTAGCAGCTTCTGGATACAACAGCTGGACGCTGGACCGCCTGCAGAGCTAAGTCATGGCTTCTAGCCTGTCAGATGCTCACATGGGGAAACGCCATGAGACCCTGCTTCCCCAGGCCAGTCACTCCTGCAAAGCCTGAAGGAAGGGTCCCCAGGGGGCTCTAGCCAGAATCACACACAAGCTGCCAGCATTGGGGCCACAGATCCTCTCAGACAGTACTGGACAGGTGGCTGGCTCCTGCAATGGGCCCGAGATACTAAGGCAGGAAGCTACTAAGCCCACTGGGGCAGGGCAGGAAGAGGACAGGCTCGGAGGGCCCTGGAGTTGGCCAAGTACACGGCCAAGTACAAGCCATGACGACAGCTCGGCTACCTTTGGAGCTCACCTCAATTTTCACCGGGGTCCCCAGCACCATTGTCTTCTCCTGGACGCTCTCTTCAAACTTGGGGTAGTGGTCATTGACATCCAACAGTGTGATGAACACCTCGGCCAGGCTGTACCTGCCCTCCATGTCCTCCGCCTTCACATAGAAGTTGTATCTGGCAGTGGCCTCAGCATCCAGGCTGGCCCAGGGCTGGGTGTAGATGATCCCAGAGGATGGGTGGATCAGGAAGCTGCCGGGCACAGAGAGTGCAGGCAAGGGTGTGCAGAAGCACGCACATGTACACACATGTGCACACACGTGCCTTCAGCAAGGAGCCGCCTCCGAGAAGGAGCCGCGATGCACTGGGCAGCTTCTCTGAGCATCTCGCCTGCTCCTCTCCATATCCTCACGGTTTGACGCAGGGAGGCAGGGCCACTCATCTACTTAACTATCAATGCTGACCTTCACCCGAGTCACAGCCCTTCCCTCTCCCCATGACTTCCTCTCCCTAGCCCAGCACTGCTTGCCTGGCCCCGGAGGCCAGAAGCCCCAGCTCCAGGTTGTGATGACCTTACTTCTCTCAGACTCACCTCATCAGGTGTGTCCCCACACCTCTGCCTTGGGCTCTCTACAGCTGCCCTTTATTCCCGGCCCCCAAGTTCACCTCCCCAGCCCAGGTCCTGTTCAGCCCAGGCTCCTCCTGCCTTCAGCACAGATCCTCCTCCACCCTCAGCCTCCCAAATCCCTTTCCCAAGGCCCTGACTGGGTTTCTGGATCTACTCACAGGTCTGCCCCAGATCCATAAATGGAGTATTTGACTTCACCCCAGGGACCTGTGTCTGGATCCACGGCCTGAAAGAGAGAAAGCTCCCATGGCCCCGGTCCCTTTGTCAGGGCACGTTGGCAGCTCTTGCTTTCAACAGCCACACAAGGGTTTGGGTGGGCTGGGAGGATTGTCCAGCTGGGGAGAACTGGAGGCCTGCTCTGGAGCCCTAGTTTCACCTCAGTTGGAGGAACCAGATCTGGAAGGTCTTCTACTTCTCATTACATATCCTCATTATCATCCTGTGAGGTGATGTTATGTCCATTGTACAGAAGGAAAAACTGAGGCTCAGAGAGGGCACATAGCTTGTCCAAGGACACAGCCAGTGAATGTGGGTTTATCGACTCAAACAAACAGGTTTGTCTGACTTCACAAGGCCCTCCTTCAGTGGGGCTCCCAACCCCAACCCCAGTCCCTGGGGCAGCCCTCAACCCACTGTGACAGCCAACACATTGGAGCCCCCTGGGGCATTCTCGGGGATCCTGGCGACGTAGTAGTGGGAGGTGAACTTGGGGACGTTGTCATTGGTATCCAGGAGCTGGATAAGGACATCTGCCGTGGAGCTGAACTTCTCTGGGGTGTTCACTTCAATGGCCAGGAGCTGGGGAAGGAAGGAAAAGGAAGACTTGTCTGGGTGGCAGTTGCTCTGCAGAGAACCTGTCACATCCTGTATCACCCCTGCACCCCCACCTGCTTTGTCTCCCAGTTTCTCTGCTGCCAGCCAGCTATTCCTGCCACTACCTGCAGGGGGGCACCTCTAAGGCAAACATCATCCCCCCTGCAACTAACCCCAATGCCGGGTTCCTTATAGTGGCCATTTGCACTGGAACCAGTTTCTTTTGCTCCGTTGGTTTGCATATTACTTTTTCTTTTTTTGCTTCCAATTTAAAGCAACTTTGCTTCATAATATAATTTAATATCTGTTAGAGCAAATTCTTGCCTCATACTCTTTTTTTCCCCCAATTCCCTGACTATTCTTATCGGTTTGTTTCTCCAGATAAAAACCAGTATAATTGTGTCAAGTCCCCTACATCCTCCCCTAAGGAAATTTTGGGTAAGACTTAATTGAAGTGGCATTGGATTCTTTATTAACCTGATGAGAATTTGCATTTTTGAACAGGATTTGTCTTTATATTTCTCGCCTTCTTTTATCTTTTTGTTAAATTTGTACATTTTTTTTTGTTATTTATATGCTCCAATCTTGTTATGTTAACTCTTAGGAATTTTATCCATTAGTTGTTCTTATAAAAGTGATCTATAATTCCATTATTCTCTTTGCTATTTTTTTGGAATGCAGGAAAATTATTAGATTTTGTGTATTAACTTTATAACCCATCATGTTAACAATTTTGCAGTATCTAACAATGTTTTGGTTATTTCTTCTAGATTTTTCTAAGCAAGCAATCACATTATCTAAAAACAATGATAAGTTTATCTCTTCCTTTCTAATGATTGTACCTTTTATTTTCTTTCTTATTTAGGAATAACGTTTAATTCTAGGAACAGTGTTAAACAATATTGGTAAGAACAGGTATCCACGTTTTGTTCATGACTTCAAAGAATGCTTTTAAAATTTCACTTTAATTGGTTGATTGATTGAAGTATAGTTGATTAACAATGTTGTATAGAATTTCACTTTTAAGGATGATGCTAGCTGTCAGTATGTATGCATGTATAATTATAAATAATTATAACAATTTAAATTAATATCAGCAAAGTACTTTTCCTTTTAATTACTATTGGGTTAATCAAAAGGTTTGTTTGCATTTTTCCACAACATCCAACATCTTATGGAAAATTCTGAGTGAACTTTTGGGTCAACCCCCATATTTATTTACATATTTATGTAAATACACATTATTTTTATGTGTTTATTATTTTGAATAATTCCCAATACAAAGGAACTTTTCTCTTCCTTTGCTAAAGTTTTTAACAGAACAATTGACATGTCGAGTGCAAACAAGGAAACTTGTCTCCTGATGATCAAACAGTTTTTTCTCTCAGTCTATTCATATGGCACATTACATGGGTGGTTTTTCTTTGAACCACCCTCCTCCTTGCATTCCTGGGGAGAGTTGTAGTTAGACGCTGGAGCTCAGTGAGGCTGTGGAGTAGAGGAGAGCTCTCGTATCATACTCCTCCTCTCCTCACTGCTCCCCAAGTCAGAAGGAGGAGCAGAGGAAAAGAGTAGGGCTAGGAGGGGTAGGGGGTGACAAGAGACCTCTCAAGGATGAATCTAGGTACTATTGTGACACCCTTCCCCGCCATTCAAGCATCACTTACCTTGAAGGTCAACACTTTGGACTTTTCAAAGTCAATGGCGGCGGAGTTCTCCACAATGATCGTGACTTGGGCTTCATTCAGGACTGTCTGCGGGACCACTCGGAAGATGCCCCCGGGTCCCACTAGCCTCAGGTTGAATTTGGCATTGGCTCCCTGGACAACCGTTTGGAGAGAAGAAACAGGGAAGATGAATGAGGATGAACCTCATTATAGAGTCGTGCTGTGCAAGGAGACTTTGCATGCCCTTGACCCTGGGAGGTAAGTATCTTAGTAAGTATTTTAGGAGAGGTGATCAAGAATCAGAAAAGTTGAGTGAACTACGAGGACTAAGCGAGGACGCAAGCCCAGAAAGCCCAGCCCTGCTTTGGGCACAGGAGGCAATGGGACACATTCACAGTGTCTGGAGGGTCAGACACAGAGGCACTTTTCTTTTCCAGTTTTTAAGGCCTCATGCACAGCTTGCAGGATTTCATCACCCAGCCAGGGGTTGAACCCTGGGCGATCGCACTGAAAGCCGGGAATCCTAACCACTAGGCTACCAGGAAACTTCCAGAGGGGCTTTTCTTCCGACTGGCTTTTTCTTTTTAATTGATCATGGATGTCTTTAGGCCATGCAGCTAGTCTCTGATTGTCTCCGTCCTCTCCCTCTTGGTTACCCACTCTTGCCTCATTCATTTTGTGACCCTCCAGCCCCGGTGACATCAGCAGGAAAGTTTCAGGCAGACTCAGCTTTGGGCCTTGGTCCCTGGCGGTTTGTAGGAAGACAGGTGGAGGGCAGGACCACATACCTGGTCTGAGTCATTGACGGTGATCTTGAGGCCCCGAAGGATCTCCCCCTGGGGTGGGTGCTCGTACATGGACAGCTCAAATCTGTTCTGGGGTCCACTCTCCCCATAGAATGTCGGTGGATGGTTGTTGAGGTCCACGATCCGGATGGTGACAGGCACCATGGCCTGGGCAGCTGGAGTCCCTGCAGAGCTGACCTCAGTCACCTGGGTGGGGACGGGGGGCTATGGCTGTGTGGCATGCTGACTCCAACATGGCCCCAGTGATCCCTGCTTCTTGGTATCTATGCCCTTATGTAATCTCCTCTTTTCTTAAAAAAAGAAAATTTATTTGGTTGTACCAGGTCTTAGTCAAGGCATGTGGGATCTAGTTCCCTGACCAGGGATTGAACCCTGTGCCCCCTGCACTGGGAGCATGGAATCTTAGCCACTGGACTACCAGAGAATTTCCTGTAATCTCCTCCTTTTGAGTGTGGCTTGGCCTAGGGACCTGCTTCAGACTGATAGAATATAGCAGAGGTGATGAAATGTCATTTTGTGATTAGATTAGACCATAACTTCTGTTTTCTAGCAAAGCAGACAGCTCTGTTGACAGTTTCTCTGATGTTTCAAGGAACTAATGGTGATCTCCAGTCAACAGCTGGAGAGGAACCATGGTTCTTACTTCCTCCCGAGAGGAAGTAAACACCGCCAATAACCATGTGAGCCCAGAAGCTCATTCTTCCTTGCTGGGCCTTCAGATGAAGACTCGGTCTTGGCTGAATATCTGTTGGCAGCCATGTGAGAGACCTTGAAACTGAGGACCCAGCTAAGCTGACCCTAGACTCCTGCCCACAGCAACTGCGATGTTTAAATGTGTGTTGTTTTAAGACAATAAGTTTGTGGTAATACGTTACAACAGTCCTAGGAAACTAGTATAGTGCTATTACTAGTCCTGTTTTACAGATGAGGCGAGAGGGTTCAGGTGGTCACTGGGGGTCACACAGCTGAACTAGAAAAAGGAAGATGTGTCTGATTCTTTAGTCAGCGCTCTCTCCACTGCATCATACCGCCCTGTTCTTGTAGCCAGACATAGGTTCAAACCCTAGCTTTGCCATATTCTGCCCTTGTGTCCGCTTGCCAGGGGGAGGCTGCGGGGAAGGCAGGTGTGGCGATGCAGCAGTGGATGACTGATACAGCCGGCAAGCCAGGGCTGAGTGTCCACAGGCACCTCAAGGACATGTGGCAAATCTCACATGGAAGGGCTTCCTCCCCCTTTCCTATAAGCAGGCTCTGGTCTTCAAATTACTGTCCTCTAATTACCCTCCTGGACTCCACTCTGCCATAAACCAGCTGCTTCATAACTCTTCTTTTTTATTTAGTAAAAATTTATTTATTTATTTATTTTTGGCCACATCCCAAGGCATTCGGAACTTCCCTGACCAGGGATGGAACCCATGACCCCCACATGGGAAGGGTGGAGTCCCAACCACTGGACCACTAGGGAAGTCCCACTCTTCTTTTCTAGAACTTATATCCTCTGCCTCCTTTTCTTTCCTCCCACTCAGTTGTCGCCCTGTCCCCAACTCAGATGCTTCACGCCGATCCCCACACTGCACGTGGCACGGCCACTCTCCCTCAGCCTCCAGAGTGCTCCATCCCCTCGGCTAATGTGGCTCCACATTGCAGGTTGGCCTTGACACCCGATCTCTCCTTCATCTGCTCCTCCCTATTCCTCCCAGCTGGATGCTCCAGCAGCGGTGTTCCCAGCTAGTGGATCCTCTCTTCCCCCAGCCCTCCTCTGAGTGGTCTCATTCCCTCCTAGCCTTTCACAGCTACCTGCATGTGGGTGTTGTCTCCCCTGAAGCTCAAACCTGTACACTCAGGTTTGGATTTTCAATTTCAATGTCCCCGAGGCACCAAAACGCAGCCTGCCTGTCCTGTTCAACTTGCCTCCCCCCGTGTGTTTCTGATGGTGTGGAACCACACTGGCTTCTTCCCTGCCTCTCCTCTCCCTGACCCCTCACAGCCATGTTCTGTGGCATCCGCCTCCTTCAGAGTTCGCAGCCTGTTCATTTTCCCCATCCCACCTCCCCTCACCCCCCGGGCCCCCACCATCTATAACCTGGGCTGGTGGCTCTGCTGCCCTGCTCCTCATCTGATTCGCTTCAAACCCGAGTTGGGACCAGCGTTTTCAGATGCCAGGCTGGGACTAGTGCCAGAATCACCTGGGAGCTCGAAACATGCAGAGTCCCGGGTTTGCCCCAGACACACTACATTCCTATCCCCCGTAGTGCGCCCTGGAAATCTTTGTTTGCCGAGCTCTCTGAATCTGAGAATCCCTCTAGTTTAGTCAGCAGTCAGAGTGAGCTTTTACAAGACTCTGATCCCGTTCAAAACCTTACCATGGCTCTTCACTGCTCTTGGGCAGGACTAGCTATATAATCTGCAGGCTCAGTGAAAAATGAAAATAGCTGGCCCCTTGTTAGAAAATTGCTAAGAATTTCAAGACAGCAAGAGCAAAACATTAAGCCCAGCGCAGGATGCTTCTAACTGCGGTCCCTGTGTAATCACAGGTCGCATGGCCACAAAGCTGGCCCTTTGCAGGAAAAATGCATACCTCGTATTCAGAGCCTTTGCTCCTCTGTCCCCCACTTGGGGTCCAACTGTTTCTCCATTACAGGCTGATGTGGACCCTTGGCTCAAGTCCCACTTGTTCCTCATTGTGCCCCTGGTATATCCTGTGCTTTCACCCCCAGCCTTGGCTCACTAAGCTTCCCTCGCTTGCAATGCCTCCACCTGCCCCAACCAACCAATGTTCCCCACACCTCTCTGCTTCCCGGGCCCTACCCACGTTCAAGGCATTGCCGCTCCCATCCTACCTTCTCTGCCTTGTCTCAGCTCCCCACACCAGGTGCCACCTCTTGTAGGTGTTCCCTGAAACACTATCTAGATCCTCCCCCTGACTGCGGGCCCTGAAGGGTAAGGGGGGCAGCCAGGATCTTATCACCTTTGGTGGAGAGGGCAAAGATCGAGGGAGGTACCTGAACATGCAGCTCATACACCTCTCTCCGGAGCTGGGAAGGGCTCTGCATCACGGAGATCGCTCCAGACGTCTCATTAATTTCAAAAGCTCCATCACTCCCTGTCAGAGAGAGACGTGCCCTGCAGTTCTGAACAAGGCCACACGGTGGCACAGGGGAGTTGTGCCAGGCCTCACAGGGTATTTCATTCAAGACTCATACGAGTCTTGCCAGTGAGGAAGCTGAGCTCAGAGAGACTCAGTAACTTGTCTTAGGTTACACAGTGACTGCAGAGCTAGGACTTCAAGTCACTACTTTCCGGCTCCCAGGTTTCCTAGTATTTTGCTTCTCTCATGCATGCATGCATGTGTGGTGTGTGGGTAGGTGTGATGGAAAGAGAAAGGAGAAATAGGTACAAAGGGAGGGAGATGAGAGACGAGGGAGGGAGGAAACAAAATAATGCAAAGAAGGAAGAAAAAGACTGGAGGAGGAGAAGGAGTAGCGGGAGGGGCAAGAAGATGGGAGAGGAGATGGGGTGGGCTGGGTGCTTGGGAGGTGTGTGAAGGCTTGCAGCTGTGGAGGGGAGGGAAGGCAGTCAGGGGTCTGCATGCCTGGGAGAGAAGCCTGTCTGTGACAGTGGGCACGTTTGCACGTGTGTTAGCTGCTGGAAGGGGAGTGTGCACCAGGCATGTCCCAGGGACAGGGTCAGAAGAAGTGATGGTGTCTGAGTGAGAGCATGGAGACACGTGCGTGTGTGTGGGACCAGGTGTGTGGGACCAGGCATCAGGTGTGGTGGCCCCTGGAGGGGACCAGCTGCTGAGGGCTGAAGAGCCCTCCCTGAGCTGGCTCCTCCTGCTCAGTTATAGCCCGATTGTGGAAGGAGGCAGCAGACTCAAACCCAATGGGAACTTGGGGTGATTTAGCTTCTCTGGGCCTCAATTTTCTCATCCATACACAGGGTGAGTATTCAGGATACTCGGAATCATCACTGTATTTAACTCACTTAATTCAATAATATGCTCTAAGCCAAAACATTTAAAGGAATGAGGAAAAGCCATAGTAATTTAGAGCGTAAGAAAGCTTGCCACCCCTTCCTATCAACGAGCAGATGCCCACGAGCGTGTGGGAACGTGAACTGGCCCCACCTGCGCTGCTCTCAGTAACACCACTGCCCCTGCCCACCCAGTGCCTCTCTCCCTGTTACTGGACATAACGACAAGCAGGGCCCGGAGCAGATGCCCAAAGAGATGTGCCGCCTCCTGGAGGGCCCCAGCCTCTCCTCTCCATGCACCTTGTACTTCTGGCCTATAGATGAGGGAACTGGGACCCAGAGAGACTGGGCATCTCACTCTGCTCACCCAGGGATTTGTACCTATAGCCCAGCAATGAGCCCCAGACTCACCATTCACCAGACTGTAGAGAACACGGTTGGGTTTGCCCCGATCTCCATCCATGGCAACCACCGTCAAGACCTCTGAGCCCTGGGAGGAACAGGAGCAGCTGCCTGCGGCCAGTGTCGGGGGTTGGGGGGGGTGCTGGTGCTCTCCCTTCCCCAGATACTGCCCCCATCACAGAGGGAGGTGCCGCCCCACTCGAGAGTCAGGCCTCTGCGAGGCCCCATCCCTGCTCTACAGGGAGCTCATAGCCCCCGGCCTCCCAGGGCTGGAGGGACAGCCTGAGCCCCGCTGCCTGCCCCCGACGTGGGTTGGCACGCAGCTGCCCAGGGATACTCAGGGCTCCTGCCTGGGCCTCCTCCTCATACCTCTTACACGCCTCCTTCCCCACACACCACCCTCAAGCCTCGCCTCTCTCGGCCACCCTCCAGCCTCACACCTGCTGCCTCATCTGACTTTGGCCTTCAGAGGCGCCTGAAGGGAGAGGCGGAGAGGGGCCAGGCAGAGGGGGTCCAATGCAAAGTCCAGGAACTAGGATTTTGTCCTGTGGCTGCAGGGGCTGCTCAAAGGGTTTGGGAAACTGCCCCAACTGGCAAGCCCTGTTCAAGCCCTGCCTGCCACCCTCTCCTGACCTCCCTATGCAGACCCTTCGCCCCAGAGGCCTCCTCATCCTCATGGCTGCTTCCTGACTGTCCTGTCCCCCCATTCCCGGCACCTCTCTCCCCTTAGCTCCGCAGCAGGACCGTCTGGGCCTCCCGCTGCTCTGCCCTATGGCCCCCATGAGGGAAGCCCCGCCTTTCTCTCTCCCTAACTCTGTGTCCCTCTCCACCACTCAACTGCCAACTTCCGGAAAGGGTTTCTCAACTTGGGCCTAGCACATGAATGGTGCTCAGCAACGGTTTTTATTGTTTTACGAAGTTGGTAATAATCAGAAATTGGGGAAGTGAGACTGGAGAATGCAATTCCATTTTTCCATTCCATGGAGAGTTCTGGAACTGCAGCCAACCGTGTAAGGGTTGACTCCAGCCTGGCCCCTGCTGGCTGGGAGCTCATAGTCTGGTTGGGGGGTATAGTAACACATGGGTGCACCATCGAGGGGAAAGTGGCGCCTGGGCTGAGCTGAGAAAGACGAGGGGCATTATGCCCACGGGCACATGTCAGGCGAAGGGAAAAGGGTGGGGTAGGGAGACAGGCTGGGCTGAGTAAAGGATGGTGTCGGCTCCTGGGTGGAGGGTAGGCCGGCCCTCGGATGCGAGGCCCAGGACTGGAAATTGAGAGGCCAAAAGGGGCAGAGGCTGAAGATAGCCTTTGTGCTGGGCCCACATGTGATGTCTGACAAGGGTCATGGTGATTCAGCAGCAAACTGTGGGAGAACTACTGGCCTGAGGGGCCTCAGGCTACAGGCCTGGAGGAAAGGAAGGAAAATTTTGGAAGGGCTGACACTTGCAGCCAGGCTGGGGTAAGTGTGGATGAGTGAAGACATGCCTGGCACAGCCCTGGCACCCAATAGGTGCTCCACACACGAGCAGCTTCTTCTTCCCCCTTACACTTCCCAATGCAAAGTGGCCTGTGTGTGGCCTGAGTCTAACTATCTCCACCAGGGGGACCCTCGGGCAGCGCAAAGGATAGGGCAGGAGGCATCTGGAGGTGATATGGGTTGCGGGGTGCAGCTACCCACCGGAAGGGTGTCCTCATACACATAGCCATAGTAGGGCGTGCCCACGAAGACAGGGGCCATGTCCTGCACATCCTCCACATTGACCGTGACCATGGTGGTGGCCGAGAGCACCACGTCGGCCCCTCGCAGCTTTCCCCCGCCATCCTGTAGCAGAATCAGAGAGGGAAGAGAGGCTGGGCTCCAGAGTCGAGCACACTTCCATGGAATCTGGCTCCTGCCACTGACTGGCCTCAAGGCCAGCTGCCCGCCCTGTTTCTGTTTGCTTCTATGCCACTTAGAGATAATTTTCCCCCTCCTACGGGTGTTAGGAAAATTAAATGAGATAATGCATGAAGGTCTTCAGCCCAGTGCGCAGTAGCTGCTCAAAAGCGTTCCTTTGGAAAGAGGGTTAGGTTTCTCTCCAGGGACATCATCTCTGAAGAGTAGCAGAGGAGGAGGGGGTCAGAGCCAAAATCTCTCCTCCCAGCCAGGAGCCCAGCCGCAAAGTCTCCTGAGAATCTTCAGAGAATATGAGGTGGACCCATGCCTGAGGATACATCATGGAAGTGTGCGCCCAGCAAGCCAGCCCTCATGGGGTAACTGGCAGGCAGAGTTGGCTCAGGCCTCCCGACACAGGCTGGGGCGGGGGTGGGGGGTGCCCTGTGGCCTCTATGTGACCAGCCTGGACTTTCCTGGAAAAGAAAACCTGGGACTTAGAAAGAAGGCTGGGGTTTCCTGCCCTCGAGGGGAAGAGCAGTCACATTTGAGCACTTGCTGAGTTGCAAACCCTACACCACACACTTTAGAAATATGAGGAATTTAGTCAAGTTTTGGGGTGGGCAGATGAGGAAATTGAGACTCAGAGTGGGTTACTGGTCACACAGAGAGGAAGAGGCGGGATGGGCAAGCCTGGATAAACGGACGTGCCCAGGGGCCAGGCTGTGTGGGATGTGAGGGTATGGACACTGAGCCTACAGAGGGGAGGCTGGCCTGTCAGTCCTGAGGGGGCAGACGCCCTCTCCCAGGAGGGAATATGCCCTCCCTGGCCCACAGACACCAGCAACCCTGAAGAATATGTCCGTGTCTGGCAGGGTCCGCTCAACACAGATCCCGAGTTGTGGCAGCTCCACTCGCGCCCCCATGGTACTGTCTGTACCCTCCATCATAGAACCTAACTGCTCCCATCCGAGGGCAGCTTCCCCCGACGGAGGCTGAGGACAGCCGGGATGCTCCCATTCCTCCCTCTCTGTTACCTTGGCAACCACAGTGATGAAGTGGGCCCGGGCCTTCTCGTAGTCCAGGGTGGCCCCGGCCTGGAGGCGCAGCACACCGCTGTGGCGGTCCACGGAGAACTTGGTGGAGTGCGGATTCTGTAAAAGTGAGCAGCAGGCTGGGCCTTGGGGTGGGACCCAGGCTGGCCCCAGGAACACCCGCTCTGCTTACTGAAAGGGAGTCTTCACCATCCTTTGTCACAGGAACTCCGACCTAGGGGCTGAGGTGCAAATTCAGGGCTCTCAGGCTTTCCTGTCTCCAGAGTCCCCCTTCCTGCAGCTCAGGGCTTCCTCTCCCCCGCCCTCAGTCCAATTAAGATGTTCCCTTCCAGCAGGGCCTCAGCTTTTCTCTAGGCCTCAGCTAGAAAACAACAGGGCCCAGCTCGGGGCTAAACTCTGGCCCAGAGTTCCCGGGTGGAAACATCAGCAGCATGCTCTGACCTAGAGGAGGTGTGGACTGAAAGTCGTAGAGACAGAGAGAACCTTCAGGATCGTCTAACCCCACCATTAAGTGACTGTGGGTCAGTCAGACCACAACTGGGTGGGGGTGGGGGAGGTCAGGTGGGGACAGGAGCTGATCTTTGATCTGAAGAGGGGTCACTGAAGGTCAAGAGCTGTTGCTGGAGTTTTCATGGGTTTAATCCTCACAACGGGCTTCGCAGGTGGCACTAGTGCCAACAAATCCACCTGCCAATGCAGGAGATCCCTGGTTCGATCCCTGGCTCAGGCAGAGCCCCTGGAGGATGGCGTGGCAACCCACTCCAGTATTCCTGTCTGGAGAATCCCATGGACAGAGGAGCCTGGCAGGCTACAGCCCACGGGGTTGCACAGAGTCAGACACGACTGAAGTGACTTACCATGTACGCACACAATCCTCACAATCCATGGAGGATGTGGTTTCACCTTTCCCACTTGCATGAGGAAAGTGAGCAGGCAAAGTCACATAACGGTTGAACCCCCGTGCAGGGGAAGTTGTGGGATCTCTCTAGAACCAATGGAGCCCAGGACTGTTTCCAGGGTTTCTAACCACTGAGATATACTGCCTTGAAAATTGTGAAAGCAAGAGATTAAATGTGGAGAGAAGAGGAGGAGCTGTGGAAACAGCAGCTGTGGGAGGGAGGCAGTGGGTTCTGCAGGAGCCGGGGGAGAGGCGGGAGATACGGGGTGGGGTCTCTGCCTTTAACAGAGCGGATTGGATGGACAAGGGTGGGGAGGGGGTGTCACAGCTCTGCTCCTCCTGAGAGCTGCCTCCCCTTCCCTTTTTCCTCTTGACAATTCTAGGCCCAGACAGGTTTCTTTTACTCTGTGTGGGTACCAAGTGCCCAGGTCATCTCCTGGGGAAGGGGTTGACCGGTGGTGAGGTGAGGGTCCTGAAATCCGGGGAAAGGAAGGCAGGTCAACTTAGTGGGAGCCAGGATGTGCCAGTCAGGGGAAGACGGCTTCTGCTCAGGCCAGTCTCATGTCCCCACTTGTTGGTCCCACCTCTGAGTTTACTGAGACTTTGTTGGAATCGGACGCACCACCTGTGATAATCTTTGGGAATCGTTGAGGCACGGATCTGACGGATGGAGGTGGAGGCCATCCAGGCGTCCCCACCAGCCAGGCCTCTGGTTCTTTCCTGAGCACCCCACCTTACCTTCAGGAAGTAGGTGACGCTCCCCGCAGAGCCTGTGTCCCTGTCCACTGCGCGGACCCTGGCGATACTGGTCCCAGAAGCTGTGTCCTGAGGGGTCACAGCCACAGAGGGTGAGCCCCAGGAGCAGTGACAGCTGCTCGGGGAGCTGGGGTGCGGGGGCATGGAAAGGCGGGGTCAGGGGACTGAGGGCTAAAAAGAGGTGAAAGGCGGTCATTGACCCAGGGAGCATGAACAGGAGGAGGGGCCTCGATAGATGAGACACTGGAGCCAAAGTGGGGTCAGGAAAGGGGGAACAAACAGACGTCCTCCTTCTGAAAAGGAGGAAAAGAGAAAGAAAAATCTAGGGCTCCCAATAGACAAAGGGCTTAAATATGAAATGACTGGAAACAGTTAATAAGCAAGGGCATATTCAGTATCACCAGGGATCACACACATGCAGCTTACAGCCAAAAAGAATAGCTTTCTCCTACGGAATTGGCAGACATTTAAAACTGCAAGAATCCCCAGTGTGGGTCAGGAACCAGGAGACATACCCTTTCCCACATTCCAGGGTAAAGGCAAACAGGTGCCATTCTGGAAAATCAATTTGACAACACCTCACAAGTACTCATGCTTTGACCTAGCAATTTCAAATCATTCCCATTAGAGAAAAGGAACTTTTAAGTTCAGAGTCTGATGTTTCTTACGATGGCAACAATTTAAAGCACCTTTAATATCCAGACATGAAGGAACAGTTCAGTAAATGCTGGAATGTGCTATTAAAGGAAAGCTATTAGAATGTTAGTTATCCCAACTTCACGATTACAACTTCACGCTTATGCTATAAATTCAGTGAAAAAGAGACTACAGAAAGCATATGTTTAGCAGTCACAACTATGTAAAACGAACAGAAAACGAGAACCTATAATCACCGAACTGACGAGAGGGAAATCCCCTCAAATTTAACAACGCTGTCTCAAGCTGAAGGGATTAAGAGTGGTTTTTGAAACTCTTTATTTTTCTAATTTTCTGTTTATTTCACACTTCCACAATAAGAGTACACTAAAATTCTAATGGAAAATGGTAAATAAACATCCCTTTGGAATAATAATGAATGTATGAGGGGATGGCAATGGGGGTGGGGGGACACAGAGGGGAGGTGTCTCCAGAGGTTAGTGAGTGATGGAGGGGGCTCGTCACTCCAGAGCCCGGTTGCCCTTGGCCAGGCTACAGGTCAGCCCAGAGGACAGGTCACAGGTCTGGGTGGGCGTGCATCAACACTGCTTGGGGGCCCCTTGCTCACCTCAGGAACCTGGACAATGTAGGGCTCCTGGATAAACCTGGGCGCCTCATCATTGGCATCAGTAACTAGGATCGTGACTTTTTCTGCCACCTGAAACGAGGCAAAAGGGACAGGAGTTGGGACAGTGAGACTTTCTGGGTGATAAAGGAACAATGTCCTCTAACACCCCAGGTATAGTCTCTACCCCCTTCTCCCCTTCCCTCCTCCCTTCCCCCCTCCCTTCTTCCTTCCCTCTTTTGATCACTCATGAAGCACATATTATTATTAAGCAACTACTTGATGCCATGCGCTGTGTTCTGTCTGACGGTGTGAAATTTGCAGGGTGGAGTGGTGGGCAAAGGTCAGCTTGTACAAGTGTGTTATCTTTCAGCCTGACAACAGCAACATGCTGGGCACTGAGGGCAGGGGCCTGCACTGCACGACTCTGGGGGCACCGTGCGCCCCAACCTAGGTAAAGGCACTGGTCTAGGTGGCCACATCCAGAGGCTCGGAGAAGAGGCATCTGACCCAGCTAGTGGAGGACACCAGAAAGGCCTGGGAAGTAAGCCAGTCGTCGGGTGAGAGGGAGAAGCGGGTGGAAGGTATGTCAGGAAGAAGCAGCAGCATGGGCAAAGGCAAAGTGAAAGGCCTGGTGAGTTCAGAGAACAGAATGGAAGCAGATTTAGGGTGAATGTGTTAGGGTGAATGTGGGAGAGAAGGTGGGTGAGGCTGAGGGTGTTCTGAATGCCAGTCTCTGAAACTAGGATTCCATCCTGAGTGTAGTGGGGAGCAGCTGGTAGCATCTTCTGAGCTGGGGGACTGTGGCCAGGCAGGACTCTGTTGCACAGTGGGGGCTCCAGACTGGGGTCTGGGAGCCTTGGAGGGAGGGGAGCCCCTGGGATTATCTGAGAAGCATTAAAGAGGGATTGGTGAAAGTGGAGGCTGTGTAGAAAGAGGTGAGGGAGGAGGGGTGCCTGCCCAGGTATTCAGCTTGTGTGATGAGGATGGAGCCAAGAGCCAGGTCGGAGGAGAGGGCGGGGAGGGCGGGATTGAGGAGATGCTGCTTGAGGAATGTGGGGGTGCTCCGTCAGAAGGGCAGAGGACAGGTCTTGTCTCTTTCCGCTCTCTCCCTTCCGTCCCCTCTCTCCTATGAGCTCACTGGGGCAGAACTTGTTTGGACTTCAGCTGGGAGCCCCCACCCCCAGCCCCTGGGGGAGGGAGTAGTGCTCAGACCCAGGGAGAGGCTGCAGGGGCTGGCTGCAGCGTGCACTCACCAGGTTCAGCCCATCGGAAATGCTGATAATGGCTTCAATCTCATCTTCCCTCTGTGAAGCGCAAGCGCAGAGTGAGGGTCCAGGAGTCAGTTGGAGGTGCCCTGAGGACCCCTGGAGCTGGGCACATCAGAGGGGCCCTGGAGTAGTGCAGGGTGGCCAAAAGCTTCCTCTGCTACCTCTGGCCAGGTTCATGCTTGAGACCTGGTTTGGGGTTTAACCCATCAGGAGTTCTCATAAACCCAGAGGGCTTGAGTGCCATCAGAATACGCACCCTCCTACTAGAATGAGGAGAGATGCTAACTGGTGTGCTGGGGGACGCAGGAAGGGGTGTTTCATCCTTTTAAAAAATTTCCTCTTTCTCCCCTTCATCTCTGCTACACTGCTCTGTATTCTACGGTTCCTCAGAGATCCAGGTCTGTGGTGTCTCAAACCCTCCCCAGGACACGGTGGGACCTCAGTGAGGAGGGGTGTCAAGGTTCCCCTGTCCTCCCCTGGGTTGACAGGCAGGGGCAGCACAGTCATACCTCCTTTGCTGTGTCCCCAGAGCTGCATCTGAGACCCACCGCGTCCCTTCTCTGGGCTGGTGGGGTCTGCTGGCAGCACCCCACAGCTGGGGTCCAGGCAGCTGGTTCACCAGCCTGGTATGGGGTCTCACAAGGGAAACACAGCCTGTCACCCACAGGTCCAGAGTGCATAGAGGGACGTAGTTTTATCCAAGTCAGACCTGCCCTTAAAACCAGTCTTTCCAAAAACAAAAACAAAAAAACAGAAACCAGTCTTTCCAGCCCTGACCTGCTGGCTGAATTTTCTGTGACTTATGAGACCTCTCCAAGGATGCTTTTGACGGAACCTTCCAGCCCACCGAGGTCTGTCCGTCTGCACCCCTGGCAGGCAATGCTCCTCCCAGGTCCCCATACCTCCCTGTCCAGCTCTTCAATCAGGGTGATGTTTCCCAAGTTGGGGTCAACTGAAAAGACGCTTCTAGTGCTGGGGTTAAAGCTGATGTGGTAGGAGACAGGGTCTCCCTCGGGGTCTGTTCCATTCAGGGTGTACACATGAGAGCCTGGAAGAAGACAGAGGGGCCATGCTGAGCACTGGCTGCTGACCTCACCTCCGCTGGCTGCTTCCCTGTCTTCCTCTTTATTCTTCCTGACTATCAGTTAGTGGTTAGTATCCCCTGCTTTACAGATTGTGATCTAGAATGTAGGTTACAGAGGGCTTCAGGGCTGCTGGGTTTAACTCTAGGGCCTCTGCCTGGAGCCAAGACTGGAGATGGGGGAGGAGGGAAAAGGGAGGAGTCCTTAAGGTGGAGCAGACAGCCAAGGGCAGCACTGCTCCCCACGCTCGGACTGGTTCTTCAGAGAGTTCTCAGCAGGCGCTCCCTTCACACGGCCCTTGCCCTTAATTCTGCCCATCCAGTGGAGGAGAGGAAGTGCGAATCCCCTCCTCCTCCCCCATCTCTGCAGATCCCAGTGATTTCATTGTTCTTGGGCCCGTTTTAAAGCCTAGAGCCCTGGGACTCTGGGAGTAAGTGCTTTGTTCAAGGTCATAAATACAGAGGGTCAGGAGCCCCGGATCTGGGCACCTCCGCCTGCCTCTTGGGGCTGGTCATGTCTCTGGGCTTGCGGCTGGATCTCTAGAACTGGAGATCTTTCCCAGATCTGCGTGGAGACCTTTCCCGCTACAGCCCTGGGGGATTCGGAGCGCAAACAGGGCGCCCCGGGAGCGCCTGCCGCCTGGCGCTCGGCGTCTCGATAGGTCCGGAGGCGTCACGGGTTCGGTCCCCGTGTCCAGGGGAACGTGGGTCCCTCCTCTGGGAGACTGTGCGGGGCGGGCGCCAGGGCTACTCACCCACCGGGGTGTCCTCCGGGAGGCTGAACAGGGCCATGTTTCCGTTGGTGCTGCCCGCCCCGTTGTCGAAGAAGTGGGGGGCGAAGTTGGCCTGAGCTAGGGACAGAACACAGAACAGAGGACAGCCAGAAACGCGGGGGGACAGCTTCGTACCCGCGTGGTCGCGCTGTCTGGCCCCACAAGCGGGCAGGCGGGTACTCCCCTCCCCGACCCCAGGGCACCCACTAGGTCCCGCGGCGACCGCCTCCCGTGGGCTCGGACTGGGCTGGACTTGTCAGGGACACGCACCATCTGGGCTGTTTGGGACCTAGGCAGCGGCCGATTTCAGCCTTATCGGTGGGCAGACTGGGAAACCGCGACCCAGAGAGGGACAGGTCCCTGGCCAAGGTCACACTGGGAGTGGGGAAGACCCTCCCACAGCCCCCATTGCAGCCGCCAAAGCTGCTCCTGAAGCAGCAAAGAGCCGCAGGGGTTCCCCGTACCCCCCGCCCTGTCTCTGTCCGCGTCCCTGTCCCCCGTCCCACTCGGGAAGCGAACGGTCTAGCACTGTCCCTAGGTCACCCGGATGGAGCTGGCACCCATTTCTCCTCCCCATCGGGTCCCGCTGGACCCTGCGGCCACTCACCCAGGCTGAGGAACAGCATCCACACGGCCAGGACGGCCGGCGCGCCGCGCCCCATGTCTCTGCGGGCGGGTGGTGCGGCTCCCCGCAGCCGAGGCCGGGCTCCGGAGCGCGGAGCATGCCCTGGGCGCACGACCAGTGCGGAGTTGACGATGGGGGAGGCGGCGGCGGGAGGGGGCGCGGGCGGGGGTGCGAGGGCGCTAAGCGGATGACACAGCTCGGATCCGCGCCGCTGAAGCCGCCCGCCCGCCTCCTAATGAGACCAATTAGTGGGTGCAGAGCTGAGGGGAACCGGCTCCCAGCAGGGGGCGAGGGCAGGGGAGTGGGAGGGGGGGACGAGAGTGCCCCTGTCCCCAGGCCTGCTGCGCGGGAGCCGAGGGGACCACAGGACCGCAGGGCACTGGAAAACGGGGGCTTTTTGTGGGTCGCCAAGTCCTGGTAGGGCCGGGCTCCACTGGAGTTTTCCTTTTTAATGAACTTCCTCTGCGACTTTCAGGGAGTTTGTCATTTTCTCGAGCCCGACTGTCAAACAATGGCGGGGAAATCGCCCATCCTCAGCATGGGAGGATGCTGCCTGTTAGACTCGAAAAGAAATGAGACCAGGGGAGACCAAGGGGTGCGTGGACTTTGGGAAGGGCATGGCCTTAAAACCCCAAATAGATTCCAAGGATGTGTCCCTGAAGGCTTGGGTGGGGAGGGGGAGGAGATTAAAAGACAAAGAGGAGGGTTGTGGTAGGAAAAGGGGGCAGATGGCAAGGGGTTATCAGGACCACCTCTCTGAGATCTCAACCCATTCCTATTCTGCCCACCAAGCCAGGCCAGCTCTCCCAGAGGGTCTGATTACTGGTCTGGTCACTAGCGGGGGTCCCCATGTGTGGTGGACAGCAAAGAGGGCCTTCAAATCTCTACTAAGCTGGGAGGTAGATATTGCCAGGCAACAGCCTAACCTCCCTCCCCATCCCCTGTGCCCAGTCGTAGCAGATGCAGCAAAGCCACGAAAGCCTTGCAAGGAGGGGTGAACTATTTGAAGGCAGGTCGGAACCCCACTCTAGGACAGACTTGCTAACAGAGTTGGCCAACACAGGTGTGGACTGTCCCAGGAGGGGTGAGCTCTCTGTCCCTGGAAGATGTTTGGTCTAAGCAAGGCACTGCTGTGGGGGCCCTGGATGCTGACAACTGGGAGAAACATGCTCAGGAGCCTTCCTGGTTGCTGATAAGTTTCCCTGGGCTGGACCCTTTTTTACTTGCTCTGACAGTATCCTCTGGTTGAAGAAGCAGCCTGTTTCCCTTACATTCACAGGGTATACAGGGCGGACACTTCAGTCCCAGGATTGGTCACTCTCCAGGATGCCCTTGGGAGGGTATATCCACAGACAGAAGAGACCTACTTTGTGTTCTCACTGGAGAGGCCTCCCTAACTGGGGTCCCAATAGTTCTTCCCTGAAGGTCTTGACAGGAGCAGACCACCCCTCCTCCATTCCCCTGTAGCAGCCCCCTCCATCTACTGTTAGCAAGAGTTAGAGATTCAGGCCAAGGAGAAGGTTAATGAGCAGTCCTAGAACGTTGGGCAATTTTTAGGCCCCATTAACCAAAACCTTTCTTGTTCAATCCCCTCTGGCTTGGCCCTGTGGCTGGAAAGATGCATTTTATTTATTTATTTTTTGAAAAGTTATAACAGTAATTTTTATTTTATTGACATATAGTTGATGTGCAAAATTATATAAGGTATAGGTGTACTGATTACAAATAGGAAAAGGAGTACATAAAGGCTGTATAATGTCACTCTGTTTATTTAACTTATATGCAGAGTACATCATGAGAAACACTGGGCTGGATGAAGCACAAACTGGAATCAAGATTGCTGGGAGAAATACCAGTAACCTCAGATATGAGATAATACCACCCTTATGGCAGAAAGTGAAGAAGAACTAAAGAGCCTCCTGATGAAAGTGAAAGAGGAGAGTGAAAAAGTTGGCTTAAAACTCAACATTCAGAAAACTAAGGTCATGGCATCTGGTCACATCACTTCATGGCAAATAGATGGGGAAACTGTGGAAACAGTGAGAGACTATTTTTTTAGGCTCCAAAATCACTGCAGATGGTGACTGCAACCATGAAATTAAAAGATGCTTCCTCCTTGGAAGAAAAGTTATGACCAACCTAGATGGCATTTTAAAAAGCAGAGACATTACTTTGCCAACAAAGGTAGATCTAGTGAAAGCTATGGTTTTTCCAGTAGTCATGTATGGATGTAAGAGTTGGACTATAAAGAAAGCTGAGTGCAGAAGAATTGATGCTTTTGAACTGTGGTGTTGGAGAAGACACTTGAGAGTCCCTTGGATTGCAAGGAGATCCAACCAGTCCATCCTAAAGAAAATTGGTCCTGAATATTCATTGGAAGGGTTGATGCTGAAGCTGAAACTCCAGTACTTTGGCCACCTGATGTGAAGAGCTGAATCATTTGAAGAGACCCTGATGCTGGGAAAGATTGAGGGCAGGAGGACAAGGGGATGATAGATGATGAGATGGTTGGATGGCATCACCGACTCAATGGACATGAGTTTGAATAAACTCCGGGAGCTGGCAATGGACAGCGAAGCCTGGCATGCTGCAGTTCATGGGGCTGCAAAGAGTCAGACAGGACTGAGTGACTGAACTGAACTGACAGGTGTACAATATAGTGAGTCACAATTTTTAAAGCTATTTATAGTTATTATAAGATATTGGCTATATTCCTTGTGTTGTACAATATATCCTTGTAGCTTATTTTATATCTAATAGTTTGTACCTCTTAATTTCCTGCCGCTACATTGCCTACCCCCTCCTCTTTCCCCACTGGTAACTACTAGTTTATTCTGTATATCTGTGAGTCTGCTGAAAAGATGCACTTTAAATTGCATAGACATTTCTGCAACTTTTGTGTTGCAAAATGATGGGACAATGCCAGTCAACAGACTTGTACTAGAGAGGGATAGAGGGATACTCCACAGGCTGTGTGTGTGTGGTGTGAGTGTCCCTGCTTTCAAATGGAAGAAGTTAAGGCACAGGGAGGGTAAGTCACTTGTGCAGGCTCACACAGCCAGTGAGAGAGAGTGTGGATTCATGCCTGGTATAGCCTGGCTGCAAAAATGTTGAACCTCTTTCCGTGGCAGAGGACAATCATCATGAAGCTCCTGACGCTTCAGTTCTCGAGCCCCTTGCTCACACTTGGTCCTTCCATAACCCAACTTTGTATTTGTAGTTTATATTCTTTTTCTCAAAAAGACTGTCCCCCTTCAGTTGTACCTGTTTAGATCTGCTAGAGTGACTAGCAGCCTGGTTTGCCTGGAACTGAAGGGATTTCCAGGGATATGGGATTTTCAGTGCTAGAACTAGTAAGATTTAAGGTCAACTGGAAGGAGTTGGTCACTCTGGGCTGGCCCCTGTCCTCAAACAAAGCGCCCGAGAACCAAGGAAAACAGCAGCTCTTGGACTCTGATCTTGACCTGGTGGTTCCGAGGGTCTGGAAACGGCCTGGAGAGCTCAGTTTCTCATAGCTGGGAAGGAAGGTCCCACCTGCCCTGAGACAGGTGGCGTGGCCCTCACCCAAATACCCTGGGCAGTCTCAGCACACCCATTGCCTTGTTCTTTACATGCCCATCACCCCTTGCAGGGTGGCATGCTCCCTCTCCTCTGGGTCTCCCCCCCCCCTCCCAACACGGCACCTGCTGTGAAATACCTCATCAGTCATCTCTAGGGCAGATTCCAAGAGCTCTTCCTCAGGTAGATGTACAATAGCTGGTCCAACTCTTAGTTAGTGGGAATTTGAGTGCCAGCTGCCAGCCCGGGCATGCATATGTGTTCTAGCCCCATCTGCCAATATGCCAGGTTAGGCTCTTTTGACCTCTTTGCTCACATCTGATCTGAGTGCCTTCCCCAGTACTCACACACATTCACACAGCTGCCCCCAAACACATGTGAGTTCTAGTCCCTTTTGCACACACATTTGTGCATACCCACATGTGCACACCCATATACCAGTGTATTGCTCATGTCTCTTCATGTAAACATGCATGCCCAGGTTATATGTGCACATGTGCACCAGGAGATGTTAGGTAAAAAGTTCTCCCAGCTTCTGGTGTTGAGGCTGTGGTGAGAAGCAGATGCCTGCTTTCAGGCTCATCTTCCTAATGACCCTGCTCTAGAAGGGGGCAGGGTAGGTCTCCAGCACCCTGCTACTACCCCAGCTGTCTGGGATGAGACCATCTAGAGACAGACGTCTGCCCTTGGTACTCAGCATCTTGAGCTCTTCTTTCCAGTTGCTAAGTTCCAACAAAGTGACCGCTCATGACCGGGAAGCTGTAGTCCAAAGTAGGATTTGGTCCTGAGGATGAAGATGTAGAATCAGGGGATGAACCCTCTTTGAACATGACTGTGAGGCTCCGCCTATCTCAGCTCAGGTGAGGTCCTGAGGACAGTCCTCCACAGGTCTGGACCAGGTGTACTCACCTGGCTGAACTGGGGAGTTGCTTCCCACAGCAGTGGGCCCTGCAGGGCTGGGGAGTTCTGGATATTATTTGCTGTGGAATGTGGCCACCCTCTGTCCCCTTGCTGTGTGCAGGCCAGGTATAGGGTGGCTGCCTAGTTTCCTCTGACATGGAGACGGCATTCCTCCTCTTACCTGTCTAAAGCCTGACTTGTTCCCCTGAGAGATTCTGCAGGAATCTGGAAAGAAAGTGAAAGTGAAAGTGAAGTCACTCAGTCGTGTCCAGCTCTTTGCGACCCCATGGACTGTAGCCTGCACCAGGCTCCTCCATCCATGGGATTCTCCAGGCAAGAGTACTGGAGTGGGTTGCCATTTCCTTCTCTAGGGGGTGGGAATCTGGAGCTGCCCTCTATTTTCCTGGTCCTCATCTACCTGGAACTAGTACCCACTGGCTGGGATCTTGTGTTGTAATGCTGGCTCTTGATCACTGTGGCATCCACACAGGTGGGCAGAAGCTCCAGCCCTGATGTCACCTATTTTCACCTTATAGCAGTCTCCATTGTTCTTGCATCCTGCCACATGACTGAGCCTGG